AGAAATTGCACATTATTTTATGATACGATATGGGAATTCCTGAGGCTCAGCATAAAACCTAAGAAAAAAAGCCCTCTAAGAACTCTGCATATGCTCATAACTGCCCCTAACATTTTTTACACTGGATTTCCAAAATTGCAGAATTCAAGTTTAAATCTTTTATTAATGATTGTCATCACAATAGAAAAAAAAACGTTCAAATTTAATTTTTATGCTGATATCCCAAGCAAAATAAAATATTTGTGTTTGTTGTTTTTAGCAAGCATCAATTCACAAATGGCATCATCGCTATTCAGTAGGAGTCCTGAGTTTTGTGCAAGAGAAAATTAAATTTAAAGTTTCCCTCCTCAGAACTGACTCCCAAAGCAATACCACTTTATAATGCTTTGGTAAGACCTTACTTTGAACATTGCATCCAGTTTTGGTCGCCACGATATAAAAAAGATGTTGAGACTCTAGAAAGAGTGCAGAGAAGAGCAACAAAGATGATCAGGAGACTGGAGGCTAAAACATATGAAGAACAATTGCAGAAACTGGGTATATCTAGTCTAATGAAAAGAAGGACTAGGGGTGACATGATAGCAGTCTCCCCATTATCTCAGGGGTTGCCTCAAAGAAGAGGGGGTCAAGCTATTCTCCAAAGCGCCTGAGGGTAGGACAAGAAGCAATGGATGGAAACTAAACAAGGAGAGAAGCAACCTAGAACTAAGGAGGAATTTCCTGACAGTGAGAACAATAAACCACTGGAGCACCCACAACAAAGTGCAACTTGGAGGCAGTTTTGGTCACCACATTGCAAAAAAGATGTTGAGACTTTAGGGAAAAATGCAAAGAAGAGCAACTAAGATGATTAAAGGCCTGGAGACCAAAACGTATGAAGAACAGTTGCAGGATTTGGGTTTGGCCAGTCTAGAGAAAAGAAGGACTGGGGGGGGACATAATAGCAGTATTCCAGTATTTGAGAGGCTACCACAAATAGGAGGGGGGTCAACGTGATTTCCAAAGCACCAGAGGGCAGGGCAAGAAACGATGGATGGAAACTAATCAAGGAGAGAAGCAACCTGGAACTAAGGAGAAACTTCCTAACATTGAGAACAATTAACCAGTGGAACAATTTGCCTTCAGAAGTTGTGGGTGCTCCATCACTGGAGGCATCTAAGAAGAGACTGGACAGCCACTTGTCTGGAAGGCTTGAGCAGGGGGTTGTGCTAGAAGACCTCCAAGGTCCCTTCAAAATCTGTTCTTCTGTTTCTGCCATTAGTGGGACCGTCCAGAAGTCGGATGTCATCATATTCCATTTTTCATGCTGAGTTCTGGAAGCACAAAATATAATTTTTTGCTATTTCTGGACTGGCCAAGGAAATGAAGATGTATATTTTAAAAAAGGCTGGGTGATATGAACTCTTTTACTTTAAATAATAAAACGCAAACACTCAAACTGAAGAAAAAACATAACATACAGAGCTACCCAAATTATGACACACTGGGACAGCCTCTAAACAGAACAAAAACTGTTGTTTAACAATTGTTATTGTATTGTTCACCCATATTGTGTTGGTGAAGTTTTTGTTTTGTAAGCTGCTGAGAGTCACAAGATGGCAAAGGGCTGCTTTTGAGTGGAAAAGCTAAAGATTAATTCCGCTGCCTTCATGCTGGGCTGGGGAGAGAAGGAGGCAGCATCAGGAGGACACGTCCTCTAACAATGGTTAGCAAGGAGCCTTCGTGCTACCCTTAGAGGGACATGAAGAGGAACCCATAGAAGTTTTTAATTTTTGGAATTTCCATCTTTCGCTATTTTAGGTCTCTCCCCCAATTGGGATGATTGAGGTTCTCCTTCTCAATTATCTGCTTTTTCTCCCAATTCAGAACCAAAATCCAATGTGGGGATCATCATCGGCTGCGTTGTGGCTGGCCTTGTCCTGCTGGGTGTGATTGTTGGGATCTGGTTTTTCAGTAAGTATCTTTTTCTGGGTGATGGAAAGAAGATGGGGAGCTTCCTCCCAAGTCTCTCTCTTTGGGGAGCTTCTTCAGGGCTTCCTCCTGTCCTGTTTTCCCAACCCTATAAAGGTGAGTAAGAGTTCCCTTTCAGACCTGAGAAAATATGTGCTTGTTTTATACCAGATAAACTAGTAAACAATGCAAATAGGTGCCACTTCTATGTATTACAAATTTCTCTTTCCTCAGTTTTTCTATTAGGTTTATTGATTACTACAATCTCTCAGACAAACAATTTCAATTTACATGTACTACGTGTAAAGATTTCCCAACTTTCCCTTCCTACAGGGAGTTAGGGTGAGTTGCTATAGCAACAGAAGTATCACTTGAAGAGCTGAATATCCTGTAAGAACTTCTGTCAGAATAGCATCATTGAACAGATGTCTAATATCTCAATCTGAAGATAGGGGCTCATGGAGCAATATTTCCAGCCCTGAGGACACCCAAGATAGGTCATTAATTCATCCACTGTTAGCAAATGCTCAGATACAAGATTAGGAAAAGCCCTACGATCTATTTTAGTTCTGGGTCATATTAAAAAGAAGTGGGGGAGAACTCTCCACTGCCCAGAAGAAAAGAATTGGGGTCAACCGAGAAATAGCACTTCTAAATATAAGATGAATGAAAGGAAATATTCTGAAATCAATATGAAGAGCATTGCAATTGCGTCAATGCTTAATTTTAATGGATCAAAATTAAGGAGCATTAGCCCTTCTAGAAACTTAGTATTGATTAGCATTTTTAAATGGATAAAGTTATTTCTAAGATAGTCCTACATAGAAACAACCATTTTGCTGTTCTATATATATATATATATATATATATATATATATATATATATATATATATATATATATTATATATATATATATATATATATATATATATATATATATATATATATATATATATATATATATATATATATATATATATATATGACTAGTAATCAAGGTAAAAATTTGACTCTTGGGTATATCCATATTAAAACAATAAATAGCATTGATCACCAAGAGAATGATTAAAAGCATCTAAAAGCATTTAATAAAATACAAATTAACCGAGCTTTCGTAAGGCACAAACATATATATATGTTTGTTTTCATAGATTTATATATATATTCAGATTTCTTTTTGCCGACAAAGAATTAAAGAATTAAGTGGGAGACTAGTATAGCTATTTCAGGCTCATTAGCCCTCATCAGCTAGCCACACCCTTTATGGGATTCGAACCTAGGCAGCCTACATGCTAGGTAGTTGTATTAACCACCAGACCACCGGCTCTCCTCCCCTCTTTGTCAGCTGAGTCAAGGGAGTATATACAGAAAGTTTTTCAGACAGACCGGTCTGATTGATTGCACCTTGGCATTTTTGACTGCTATACTGCAGTTCTACTTTTTATGATCACTTTTGCCTTGCAGCCCGCCAACTAGGGGCGTTAAGCAGGCTCAAGTCGCTACTGCGAAACATTACAAATTCAGATTTCTTTTTGCTGACAAAAAGTTAATTCTTTAATTCTTTGTTAAAGAAAAGTTTTGCCATGTGGTTTGTGCTTCAGCATGTGCATCAGCTGCAGCACACTATGAGTTTAATGTTGAGTTTAATGTTGAGAGAAGTTTTTAAATATAACAGCATGAAGTTAAATTACCAGAATTATTTGGTATTTGGTCTGCATTCATATTTTATCATCTCTGTTTTGAACTACTTCAAACACTCAATTTCAACATAATTTAACAGGAAATCTAAAATTTCCTCAAGTTAAGTCCAACCCATGATAAATCATCTTAAATCTGAATGCTACCTTCTAGTATTTAATTAATTTAATTTAATTAATATTAAAATTTCATTTTTTACCATTTATACTACCCTTAAATTTTGCTTTCCGTAACCTGATTATGGATAGTTACAAAGACTGAGTACAGAGGAAAGCTTATTGAGGAGAGAAGCAACCTAGAATTAAAGAGAACTTTCCTGTCAGTCAGAACAAGTAAACAGAGGAACGGCTTGCCTCCATAAGTTGTGGGTGTTTCATCACTGGAGTTTTAAATTGGACAGCCATTTGACCAGATTCATATAGTATCTCCTGTTTGAGTAGGGGGTTGGACTAGAAGACCTCCAAGGTCCCTTCCAACTTTATTAGTCTGTTATTTCATTGCTCTCGGGCCATGGAACACATTCCAAGGAAATGCATTTTATTCCCATTTTCCTAGTATATAAGGAAGGTAATAAAAACATCTCTTGTGCTAATCCTTTATGATTTACTTTAATGTTTGTCATTTTAATGATTGATTTGAAGTTTGGCTTTGATTTTAATTGCATTGATTTTGTTATGTTTTATGCTTTGTATTTTTTTATTGTTGTAAGCTGCCTGGAGTGTTGGAACAAACTAAAAAAATAATTCATTCATTTTATCATTCACTCAATTTATTGGGCTGCTTAATCAAAATGTTCAAGATATGTATTTACATTTCATGGTGAACCACAATTTTTGAAACTATTTTGGATGTCTGCGATAAATCATAACTTACTCGGTTCACTGTAAGTTATGCTTCATGATTGACCAGTTTTGCTGTAGGTTTTATTTATTTTAGATTTTATCTTGGATTTTCTTTTTGCGATTGATTTTGTTTCTGATGATTTTCTTTTATTTGTTACATTTCAGTCTTCTTTTTGTTTGATGGTATACACTGCCCACAGTCTTTTGAGATCTGGGCATGTTGCTAGTACTGTAAATGAATAACATAAATAAATTACAGCTGGATGCACACAGCATGCTAAACCAAGACCAAAGAAGCTACCTCAGTGCCTAAAACTATTATTTGGACATGATAACTTTCTGTAGGTAGAAATATGATTGGGAAACAATCCTGTGTACACTTATCTGGGAGCAAACACAATGAAATTTACTTCTGAATAAAACACATTCATAATTGCAGTGGGGGTCATCAGTATTGTAGAAATGACATTAAGCACTGAATAATTTGCATGTTATGTATGCATGATGACCAGTAATCATTCTACACAGCACTCCCATTTTCCTGAGTTATCAGGTTTCTATTCAATATTGAACTTATTAAATTGGGGGGGAATCTTCATTATAGGTATTATATGATCTAAGAAAAATGATTTTATTGTTTTGCAATGTCCTATTTCTTTTACCACAAAACTTTGCTTCCTTGTGCCTCCAGCAAGGGAAGAATACAGTACGTCTGACTTAGATGCTGCCATTTTAAAACTATGGCAATGTATTCACAATATAGATGCATAATCTTGCTGAAGATTTATTTATTTATATTTCACATCACTTACAACCCTCCTCAAGTGCAAACAACTCCGAAAGTTGGATATTATCAAACAAAAGGTAAGTCCCCTGTCTCTCCCACCCTCCACCCCAAAATAGCCCAGGTAGGCAGCACAGTCAACTAGGACTGAATGCACATTGAAATAAAAGTTTTAACTTGTTTATGGAATTGCAGCAAGGTGGGTACCACATGTACTGACAATTCAGCTGGGTGACTTTGGACCGGTCACTCTCTCTCAGCCCAACCCACCTCACAGGGTTATTGTGGTGGGAAAAATAGGAGATGGGAAGGAATTTTAAATGTGTTCGGCATCTTGAGTTATTTCTAAAAATAATAAAGGTGAAATAATAACAATAAATAAAAATCCACATGAATGAGATTTAGCAGGGAAGACCTACCATCACACCAGGGCCCCACGGACTTCACCATGGGAGAGAACTTTTAGCATTGTGATCTTAGTGGGCAGATGGACAGATAACGGTTTTGGCACAGGCATTTGCTGATAAATCCCAGTGCTCCACTGATCAGACTTTAAAGATAATGGCCACAAGTAATGGTTTCTTTATATATTTGCCTTTTTTATTATATTTGTACTTTTTCTTCTCTGTTTATTTTCTTCCTTTTCTTCTTGCACATTTTATTCCTTTTTTAAAATTCTCTCAGGTTGTATTAAACCAATCAGTTTAGCATCAATACCTGGGAAGATCCTAGAAAAGATAATCAAAAAACAGATCTGCGAACAACTAGAAGCAAACAAAGTCATAATTAGTAGCCAGCACAGGTTCATTAAAAACAGATCATGCCAAACCAATCTTATTTCATTCTTCAACAAACTGACTAAACTAGTAGACCAGCGAAATGCAGTGGACATAGCATACTTACACTTCAGTAAGGCATTTGACAAAGTAGACCACAACCTACTCCTTGGTAAGCTAGAAAAAGGTGGAATAGATAATATCACCACCAGATGGATCTGTAGATGGCTGACAAACCATATGCAATTAGTAGTCCTCAATGGCACTACATCCACATAGAGAGATGTTAACAGTGGGGTACCACAAGGTTCTGTCTTAGGCCCAGTACTCTTCAATATCTTCATAAATGACTTAAATGAGAGAATTGAAGGGGAACTTATCAAATTTGCAGATGACACCAAACTGTCAGAAGTAGCCAACACCACAGAAGACAAACTCAGGATCCAAAAAGATCTTGACAAACTTGAACAATGGGCCCTATCCAACAAAATGAGTTTCAATGTGGAGAAAAGCAAAGTCTTACACTTAGGCAGGAAAAACCAAAGGCTCAAATACAGATTGGACAAGACCTGGCTTAAAAACAGTAACTTTGAGAGGGAACTTGGAGTCCTGGTGGACGATCATTTAACTGTGAGCCAGCAATGTGCAGCAGCAACCAAAAAAGCTAATACAATCCTGGGTTGTATAAACAGAGGCATAGAATCAAGATCACGCAAAATACTAGTACCGCTTTACAAAGCCCTAGTAAGACCACACCTAATATACTGTAGCCAGTTTTGGTCAGCATATCACAAAAAAGATGTTGAGAGCTTGGAAAAAATTCAGAGAAGAGCAACTAAGATGGTTAAAGGCCTGTAGGCTAAAACATACGAAGAACAGCTGCAGGACTTGGGTTTGGCTAGTCTAAAGAAAAGAAGAAATTGGGGAGACATGATAGCAGTGTTCCAGTATCTGAGGGGCTGCCACAAGGCAGAGGGGGTCAGCTTGTTCACCAAAGCACCAGAGGGAAGGACGAGAAACAATGGTTGGAAACTGATCAAAGAGAGAAGCACCCTGGAATTAAGGACAAGCTTCCTGAAAGTGAGGACAATCAACCAGTGGAACAGCTTACCCCCAGAAATCATGGGTGCTCCATCACTGGAAATTTTTAAGAACAGACTAGACAATCACCTGTCTGAAGTGGTATAGGTTCTCCTGCTTGAGCAGAGGGCTGGTCTAGAAGACCTCCAAGGTCCCTTCCAGCTCTATTCTATTCTGTTCTGTTCTGTTCTATTATGTTTGCTGAGATGGGCAGGTGAATAAATATATAACATAATCATTCTTAATAAAAATTATACTATATATAAAAATCCCATATGAAACTTAGCTACATATATTTTGATCAGCTAGAAATTTCAGAGAATTGTTTTTTTCCAATCCATCAGTCTTTTGGCATTGCTTTATTAAAACTTAAAACGCATATATGTATTATGTAAACACACATATATGTATATATATAAACACACACATACTAAGTAACAATGGAGACTTTAATATTAAATAATTTAGTTTAAGAACAAAAACTTTAGTATATAATAAATATCTTGGTGCAAGTCGCTGTGGATTTTTTTCCTTTCCCATATTAACTTTGAATGAAAATGCCAAATAATTTTAATGCTTGTAACATTGCTATCGTAAATTGTAGCTAATAGGAATAGAATATTTATCTTTTTTCCCTTTTATTTACAGTATTCCAGGTTATCTAAATAATAGAATGCCAAGAATTTTTAATTATAATCTTATAAATGTCATGGTATTGAAATAATATAATGTATCAAGATTTATAACAAGAGAGTAAAAAAAGGAAAAGAAAGGCAGCCAGGGTCCCTTCTGGATGAAATCCAAGAACACAGGATTTGTAAAAGATGTTGAATACAGCCCTGTTGGAAAGCTAAGCAAAGAGACATGGTTGGCATCAGCATTGCAGGATTCGCAAATGTAAAACAAACAAATTCAAATGTGCCTTTAACTTAGCAAACCACAGGTTGATTTTGGCACATGAACTATTGGCACATGAACTATTATTATTTTTCACATGAACTATGCCTATGCTGGCTCAGGAATTCTGGGAGTTGAAGTCCACGAGTCATAAAAGAGCCAAGGTTGCCTACCCCTGGCCTAGGCAGAATGAAAGATCTAACTTCTGACAAGTCAGAAGTAAGAAAGAGAGGGAGGGTGTGGGAGGGAGAGAGAGAGAGAAAAAAAATATGTTCCGGTTCTTTTTCCTCTAACACAGGGTAGCTACCATAGTTAGATATTATTAATTTACCTCGTTTATTCAGCTGAAGTGGGAAAGGAGAGCTAGGTTCCTAATAAACATGGTTATTTTGCTTCAGGTTACTGATTGTTTTTAATGGAGCTATTTCTTTTTCATATAATTAGGAAAAGAATTCCCCGAAGGTAGTTGTTTGATTATTTCACACAATGTTCAGCACAATAATTGATATTCTTCATCTGTGCACTGAATACATACTCATTCATCTATTTCAGGGGTAGTCAACCTTGGCTCTTTTATGACTCGTGGACT